ACTTAAAGACTTAATTACTAATAAACGTAGTACACATACGTAACAATATATGATATATATATATATATATATATATATAAAATCGGATCGCAAAGGAAAAAAATAAATCTTAAGACGCCAAATAACGTGTTCACAACTGCAATCTACGTGCAGAGCTCCTGACGCTCGTCTGTGAATAAACAACATAAAAATATACAACTAAAAGGAGAGAATAACATAAAATAAGTAGTAAATAGGTACGTGTGAAGTAGTACATTGCGACATGCAGATATTAAATACGGATAAGTATGCCGGCGGCGCGACTGCAAGATGATTAAGACCATAGACCGCATTAAAAAATTATCTGCATGCAAAAAAAGTAAGCGCTCGAAGATCGCCGTGGGCGAAGAAGATATCCGTACATCTTTAAATACTTTGTTAATTCCGCATAAAGAAAAAAAAGATCAATGTTGCATTATTACGAATAAAAATAAGTTGTTTTATTAGAAATATTGCAGGATGATTTTCTCATATCTCTAAATTTCTGTAAAAAAGATAAAATGTACCGATACTTTCTTTCTTCTTTCACTCACTCTTCGTGTCAATTTACAAAATAATAATTTTTCATACATAACGAACATAAATGAGTTTCGCAGAGGCAGGATTAAAAGATCACAGCAACAACAGAGCCTCGATGTTATCTCTATCTTCATATTGCCGGTTCGCAATTAATTCTCGTATAATTAGAATTAACGAGCACTGAAAATTATGTTTAATGATCGTTTGAGCGTCGCGGGATGTTTGACAAATATTCCGACGTCTAGAGAAAAAGGAATTCCGGAATATTCGACATGTAATGTACTCATTAGAATTAAAACATTCAATTAAAACTAAAAAGACATTTTATACTCCTTATGGTCCAATAAGCATTACGAACTTTATGAGTCCCGAACTTTCGATGTGCAAACAGCACACAATTCGAAAAAATAACAAAGCAATAGAATTATCTCCACCCTTCACATTAACTATTTATATATAACCGTTAACCATTTATATATTTCGCTTTCAATTAGCGGAATTCATCTCTTTTACTCTTTTACTCTTGTCTATTTTCAAGTTGGAGAAGGTACTTTAAATATCAAAAGTAAAAGACAGCGTCCGCATGCTTTTTATAGCATATTATGAAATAGCACAATAACATATATGTTCATACGCGTTTATACGAGACCAGTTATATGTTCTCAATTCTCATAAAAAAAAAGATCACATCTATCTCTCTTTTATCTTCTGCACAAGAAAAACAAGTCAAAAAATTGATTACGAATTGTCTGATATACCGGATATATATCGAATTATCACGAGTGCAAAGGGTTAATACTTTTGAATAAATTATTACTTAAAGTGACCTATTCGCAATTGTTCAAAGAGAAGAATCTGTCTTTTGCCACGCAGGTCATAGGTACACATGGATCGTTCGTTGATCGTTTTCCCGGCTACAAAGTTCGTAAAGGAATGAATCCCTCCATTCCGATAATTCTGAGGTCTTCGTCATCGGAATCGGAATCATCATCATCATCATCACCATTTCTCTGTCTCTAGAAAAAATACCGATAAAAAAAATACGGTCATACGTGCGTTGCGCAAATATCTGATTGTGATTTTTTTCCCCTTGAATAGAAGAAAGACAAGCGCAAAAATAAATCGCAGAAACTTATCCCTCTTATGTACATTAAACATAATTTTCAAATCGACTTTATAAATGAAATTTACTCCATCATTGTGCACTACGAAATGTCACACGCTATTGTCCATTCATTAATACTTTTTATATGTCTGTTGTAGGCAATCACTGACTAGAATAGTTATCCGTGCTGCACAAAGTTTATAAAATTACTTCGGCAGAAAAAAATACGCAGTTACGAGGAATCACTCACGCGCAACTCGATGATTAGCTCGTTAACAATTTCATCGTTTGTTAATTTGCGCATAGTATTATAAGATTAGAGCAGAGCAGAAAAAAGTCGGTTTGCTTTAACGAATAGCATACATACATTCCCCTTATTCTTAAGCAAGCAGATTCGTTAAAAATTCACAGTACATTTACAATTATCATAGTCATTTTCGAAATTAAATTGGGCGCGATAGCAGCGTAAAGTTTAAAACTTTAGTGTTAAATTAATGATAAATCGTCGTAACAATTATTACATTGTCATGTCAAATTATTTATTTATAGACTTGGTTTTGTCTCTATATCTCCTTTAAATTAGCTTTCAAACTCATTTTTCTTTCTCAAAAGTCGAGTAACACCGCTATTGCATCTGAATCTTGAATTATTCCTATCGCTAGTGTCGTTTCATTCGAGGGGTTAACTTGAAAATCGAAAGTAAGAGGAATTACATCATTCAAATAAAATTAGTCTTACTAGTCTGTGCAATAGGCATTCAAGCTCCTGTTTTATGTAAAAGAATGAAGGAAAGAAGAGATAATTATAAAATTGAATACGATGTGACGTTCGCGCAATTATATCTCCTCTACATATTGTCTGTACTGCTTACAATATAGAGAAATATTTATTTACACACACCCCTCCCCCCCCCACACACACACACACACACACACACACACACACACACACACTGCGCGCGCGCGCGTAGCCGCAAACTATTGTTGTTTACACTTAAGTGTTCACAGTCGAAATAGGAAATTTAACGAAGAAACGAGATGTGAACGTCGATCGCAAGATGTACTATTTGCCTTTATAAGAAACAAAAGACACGAAATTTCTAGCAAAATTAAAAAAAGATATAATGTGAATGTGAAACATGTAAATTATATAAGAATTAAGCAAATTATAATCCCGATCATGCGATTTACGAAATATGTATATACGACTCTTCCCTTCTCTCTTTCCTGCTTAAAGACTTATAGATACACAAAAGATGATGATGTTAGGATTTGTTAATTCTACCTTCTGTGTAAATTGAGAATTACATAGGGCTCATCCGGATTAGTGCTGACGTCTGTAGTGCTGTTAGGTTGATAGCACGGATTAACAGTATAATTGAGATTAGGCTGATGGAAACTCACCGGCTGAACGCTGGTCCTGCGTCGCTCCATCTCACGATCTTCCAGGCAGAAATCGGAGTCCGAATCGGCTTTTCTCGCAACGTCGTCCTGTCACAATAAATGCGATAAAATATTTCAATTTATTACAAGTTACAATATTCTATTATATCTGATGATACACATTAGACATAGTGTAATAATGACACACATCAGATATCATAAATTTAAAACGAAGTTTTCAATATATAAGAAACTCGAGTAACATTGTACCTGTGTCATCTGTTGTGTGGTCGTAAGGATTCTCGCCAACGGACTACAACAGACCGGTAACGTTTCTAATAACGTAGGCCTGGAGTGTGTTAGCAGAGGCTTCATATATTTAGTATCGAAATCACCCCAAATTCTGGCGAGTAACGCCTTCTCGTTAGGCTTTGTACCACCGATACCGCCGCTGCCACTGCCGCCGCCTGGCAACGATCCATCCTGCATAGAATTATACTGTGAAATGTGAACAACACATCAGTTATCCATCCTGTATGATTCTGCGAATTTTCCTTCTTTAATCTTTAATCTTTAATCTTAACGAACAAATTTTAATCTTTACAACTCTCTTATTATTTGCAAACATTTATTGCATACATTTATTAATGCATTAAGATAAAATCCAGATAGATAGATGTGTTTCCTTCCCTTTTTAACAATAACAGCATTTATTATATTTTCTTTTAATAACATCCTTTTTATGTTTGAAATTATCTTCATTATTTATAAAAATACATGCTTACTTATGAATCATGAATCTGGTGTTTCATATTAAATGTTTGTGTGGATACTGTTAATATATGTAAGTATCTTAGTGTTTCCTCCAGCTACTCTTCAACATACAGAATGGATAACAAAAACCATACTGAAAAAATAGCTAAAAGCACATGCTATCAAATTTGCTAACAAATTTGCCGAAGACACATGCTGTCAACAGATAATAAAATAAATCTACAACTTGCACATGATACGAATCATATAACATATCTACATTCATATACTCTGACAATAACAAAAAAAATGTTTATTTCAATGATAAACAACAATTGAAATTGATGCATGCTATTTTTATGCTATTTATTACTTGGGATCGTGCTGTGCGAGCTATATGCATGTTTATATATATGTACATCAACGTCTCATGTATCGTGTGTGAATGATGATAAATTGTAAGAATGGGCGAGTTATCAAAACGAAATAAAAAAAAAAAACCAATCATATTGTCTGAACTCTCAATTTATTAAATAGAAAAACGGTGCGTCAAGTCAATCTTTAATTGTAATAACGTACCGGCGAACTTCTTGCCCTACGCATGTCCAAATCACTGTAGCCACCCTCGCCGCCAGACTATCAAACATTAATAAATTAAATTGTTTTGTAACTTGTTCACGCGCACATTCTTTTAGCATATTCAATATTCGCAATTTATCGAATACTATGAGTTAACATGACATGCGTGTAAATTCGAGAATGCAAGAATTAATTAAAGATCGATATAATTTCGGTAGAGCAATATCAACTGAATTTTATTCGTGAGTCGAGAAATTGCAAACCATGTCACAAAATTCGAAGTGTTCACTTTTAACTACCAGAAAATATTATAATTATGGGTGTACAGTTATGACGTCTGTAACATTGGAAAATTGAGCTCACTGATATTGTACCGATTTTAAATGATTTAGTTAGTTAGTTTTTCGTTGTTGTTAATTTTTCAAATCTCTGATATTTTCATTCTAACATTTTTCGAAACGAAAGAAAAACTAACGGAGAGCGTGGGAAAATAAAATTCTTTAAGCTTTAATTGATTAGGAGATTGAGCTTTAATAGGAGATTAGTACGCACGGTGTCCAGCGAATTGTACACCTGGATAAAAGCGTTACCGTGAAAAAATGCATTGCACGACGAACTTAATTTAAGCTTACATGCACAAATATTTTCGCTTGTATATTTCAGAGCAGATTCGTTTAAATATGTTCATTGTACTTTGTTGTTTATCATTATTTTCTCAATTATTTGTTCATTATTGTTGAAAGATTAATTAATAATCCTACAGATTTTACGCATGCAAATTTTTGCTATATCAAGATAATCGCATTTCTTACTGACATAAATCATATATCTAGCATTGAAATTATACGCATGAACGTGTTGATATATATGTATATATGCAAATAGCCTAAAAACACACAGTTCTCTATTCTGCATTGTGTAACACTAATTCCACTAGATAAAGATACAATTATCGGATAAGAATTATCATACTTACACTGCGCGTTCCGTTATGAGAAAGTCCTTCTATTTCTTCGTCCACTCCGACTCTATAAATAAAAAAACAATTCAAGTGTTACAATTAAAAAACGCAAATATTAATATTAGAAAAAATATTTATTTTTTATGCTGATGCTTATACTAATAAAGTAATAAAACAAATTGAAATTATGTTTAAGAGTTTTACTCACGGAATATTGAACCAGCTTAAAAACTGAGTTGTTGCACCACCTTGCAGTATAACCGTCAATATAACGATCAAGCTAGTAGTAGTCAACATCGCTTGTCTAGCATCGGATACTGTGTTTCTAATAGCAAGAGCAAAACTCATAGCGCCACGCAGTCCTGCAAAAAATAGCATGTGCTGATAGTTCAATGATATCTTCGGTTTTCTTGCAAGATTCAATATGAAAGACAGGGGATAAACATTAGCCGCTCGACCCAATAATGCGCACAGCTAAGGATAATGTTAAGGACTTTATTAATTAATTAAATGAAATTTGATTGGGAAAGAATTCTACTAGATAATATTAACAATATGTTATGTACTGTGCAAAATTCAAAGATGACAGATTCTCTTACAGAATCATCTTTGGATCAACTGGAAAAATCCAAAATATTTAATGGCATTCTATTAATATATATATGCAATGTAAGGATACAAATCCTGCGAAGATAAAACCAGGATCGAAATGGTGCTTCGGAAAAGTGAACATTGACACGCCGATGTAACTAAATATGAAATTTTCAGCTAAGAAATTCAACAGCTCAAATAGCTGTTTTGTACGCTGGCGCGAATCTGGACTCAGATTATTGTATGTATAATGAGCCTGACATATTCCACAGAAAAGAACGGCAACCACACCTAAAATTTCATAACACTTATTAGATTACTGCTGACGTCAAATCAAATATGATTGCAATAAGACTAAGAGATTTATAACTAACGCACAAATATTACCACTTACCTGTAAGATCAGCAGCTTCGGCGATTAAAAATGTACTATATGACATTAAGACGAATAACGCCGATTCCAAGAGAGGAAAGTCTCGCACTCTGGTAAACTTTGTCAATAACGCAGTAATACATCCCATAGTAGCACCGATAAAGAGAGAAAGACTAAATATTCCGACAAAATCTCCGAATGCTTGGAAGAATGCCACAGTCTCGAAACCGCCAGATCCCGACTGGTATCGCTCCGCATAATTCTGTATAGAACTGTAATAACAGAATTTATGTTTTTAAAATCGCATACTTTAAATATTATTAAATTAGATATTTTCAAAAAAATTTATATATTCTATATCAGTTACAACTTTTTCGATTCTGATCTTTTTTATAAAATTTTTTTACAAAAAAACTCCAATCAAAGAATTTGCAAATTAAAAAAGACTATTTTTATTCTATAAAATATACTCACCCACTAAGTACAATAGCAACCGCATCATTCAGCACACTCTCACCAAACACTAAGGCATATAAATTAACATCTACGTGTAAATCGTTGAAGATGGATATTATTGTCAAGGGGTCTGTAGGGGATATTAGAGCGCCAAAGTACAAGGTGTCCAGAAACGTAAACGACGTGGAGAGATGTGGTATCAATTGTACAAAAGCATACATCAGAGCTCTGCGCAGATAAGACAGTTTAACTTATTGCGAAAATCAAGTCTAAAAATAGACCGTTAAAAGAAGAATACATATTATTCTTACTGACGAATGAAATAAGAAAAACAACAGATAAACTCGATCAAAGTACAAGTTATGGTAATAAGATTACAGTAATTTCTATAAATATAATTTTGCTTGTTGCCAAGCGTCCGTTAATTTATTACTTCTTTTTCTTAGATACGCAATAAAAAATAATAATTAAACAAAGGATAGCGATAAAAAGTTTTCTTTTTAAAAAAATAAGAGAAAAATAACTATATAGTATATAAATAATTATAAAATATATGAGAACAATAATAATAGACATGACATATAAACTGATATTTTTTTCTTTAAAAATGTCTATAATAAAATAAAAATAACATTAAAAGAGTAAGATTTACCCAATGACAAAAGCTGATATAGAAGTTCCTATCAAAGCGTACATAAGAATTGCGCCCAAATTTCTGAAGAAGTATCTCTGCAAAAATTGATTTATTTGTTAAGAGAAGTTATTGATGAGAATCGGAAGATGTTAAATCTCAAGATGTTTCGCATTTTTCCAATAAAAAAAGAAGTAGATGTACTTACACGCTTCAAACTATATCCTGCATGAAAAATAATAGGAGGTAATATGATATTAAAAAATATTTCAGGATCAAAAGTAGCCTGCAACAATAATAATTAATATTAAAACGAAATGACTTTAAATTTAAAGTTGGGAATATGTAAAATTATTTAAAAATCATCAGATAATTTTCATGAAACAGAAAATGTGAATCTTACAAATTATTTATTCACCTTCAAATCAATTTCATTATCTTCCTTGTAAATTTCACCACGAAACGAATATGCAAATGTTTTGTTCTTTATAATACCACCGCCCTTATCTTCTGGAAAACGTAACCACAATGTATCCGGTGGTACAGACTGATTATATTTGCTGGTATTGTCCGGAACTACCGGCATATGCAAAATAGTACTGCTATTTGTAAAACCATAGCGTATTATCGCTCCTATGATCAAACCTGTAATGATCAACATTCCATTCTAAATAAGTAGAATAATTTTCAATATGCTGTCAATGGCAAAAAATAAATTATACTTTTAAAAATTTATAAAAATAGATTTAATTTTGTTTTAAATTTTAGAAAAATGAACTAATCAATAAAATCAATTACAAATTTTTAGTTTAAAGCAAACTTTGTAAAAATCAAAAACAATGAAAAAATAATAAATAAATTTTCAAATTCATTTTCAAAACTAATTAAAATTAACTTTCAAATATCCAAATATTTGCAAATTACATAAATATCATAAATCTAAGATTATTATTTTATAATTACTCTGATTTCACAACTTTTAATCATAAAAAATAATTTTACATCAATAATGTTATATAGTAACATTTTTTTACAGTTAATTTATATATTTATTATTTTAAGAAAAATAATTTTAAAATAAAATTAGAAGATCGGAATAGAGACCTCTGAAGCATTTAAGGGTTAAATACATGTGCAAAATTTGCAAGTTGTCTTCTTTAAATAGACAAAAATTTCAGTGCAGGATCATGACACGTGATTTTGGCAATGCTTGCCCATGCCAATTGCTCGTGTTATGATTGAACTTATAATTTATACATTAGAAAAAAAAAAAAAGAAAGAAAAAAAAAGAAAGGTACGAGCATTGTTGATAGCAGACGACTCTCACCGTAGATAACAGCTAGACCAGTTTCATGGAGGAACCTCAAGCGACGGTGCTTAAACATCCATATCGTTAAAACTGTTAAAATCAATAAGATCGTGTAGAGGAGAAGGTTGAGACTATCAAGTCGGTGCAATAGCTGCGCCTTGGCATCTAATTCGATGTCCGTCGCCGCACCGTTGCATAATTTCAAGACAAAAATACACAGAACTCCGAGAAGCAGGAGACGTACGCCGCCATTCGTCGCCATCTTCGCCCAACATCAGGCGACATGGCGACAGCCGCGCGTGCGAGAAAGAGGTGATTCACACAATACTACACTCATCTAATCGCATGGAGGGAGGTATGAAATCACTAAATTGTAATAAAGCCAGAATCATACAGTGCATGATTTTCGTGCCTACTTTCCCGCATGCTGATCGATATATGATACCTTGCTGATTCGCTTTCATTTCTGCACGAAGTTAGTATCATTATATGAAATTAGCAATTATGATAGACCAATTGCATGATGCGTGCAGTGAAAGAAGACATGAATACAATAATATGTAAATAAGCATCAGTCTCTCTTTAATTAATAAAATTCAGCACTGACGGATACTGATTAATTAGCTATTTTCTTAAACATTTTTGGCTTATTTTCTCGAAACGAGTATAATAATTGTACCTTAGTTTTGATGGCATGCTATGGATCGTCTGCTTAATCAGATGAGTTTTCAATATTTAATTATTGCATGCAAGGAAGTGAAATTCGAATGAATGCGCCGTACCAAACTCAGAATTCGATTGACCAAGATTCGATTGATCATTGTTGAATATTCGAACTATTCAACTATAAATCCCGGCCTACAATAGATAATTTAAGCCTTAAGCCATAAGAAATGGACGAATTATAATCGAAAAACAGGAGAATAATCCACTATGATTGGTTAATTTCGTATGGCTTAAGGCTTAAATCATCTATTGTAGACCGGAAAGTGGTGTCTACAATGAGACTTTAAGACATAAGACTTAAGAAATTGGTCAACCACAATCGATTATTCTTCTATAAATCGATTATGATTGACCAATTTCTTAAATCTTAATGTCTTAAAGTCACATTGTAAATGCCGCTTAAGTGTCGGTTCACAATAGGTGATTTAAGCTTTAAGAAGTTAGGTTAGAAATGACGAAGTTTTTATTTTGCAATTAGCAGTTCTCAAATTTAACTCGCTGTTTAACTTAACCAGAGTTGGTGAGACCCTTAATCATCTAATAAGTGGCACCTACAATAAGATTTTAAGGCGTAAGACTTAAGAAATTGGCCAACCACACTCAATTATTCTTTTATAAATTGATTATGATTGGCCAATTCTTAAATTTTACGCTTTAAAATCTCATTGTAGACGCGTTTTAGTGGTCAATTGCTTAAAGCTTAAAGCCTGGTTTATGGAAGCCGTATTCTGTTAACTTATGACGTAATCGTAAAAAATTGACTAATCACAATCGAATTATAGATGAATAATCGACTATGATTTGGTCAAGTTTTTACGGCATAAGTTAACAGATTCCAGCCTCCAAAAGACTATATCAGACTAGCGGTTGCCCGGCTGCGGTTGCCAGTTAACGATTCTACTATTACCAATCACATTGATTGTAACCAAGACCTGCTATATTGATTGGCTAAAATAGAATCATCAACCAGCAATTGTAACCGCGCAACCGCTAGTTGATTGGCCGTAAGTCCTGTTCTACAATGAGTCGTGTGTCGATGCCGTGATCGTGGACCGAAGAATGGGCCAATCAACTATTTTCCTCACATTCGTCTGTGATCAATTCTTGTGGCTTACGATGCGACACCAACACACGACGCATTGTAAAACAAGCTTAAGTCCCGGTCTACTAACAGATGATGTAAGCCTTAAACCATGAGAAATGGACGAATCATAGTCGAAGAATAGAAGAATCCGTCCGCCCGACGAGTCGAATTTTACCCACGACAAGAACCCATAGACATTTATATTTATATACTAGATCGTTAACTTGCCTCAAATACATGGCCCCGAAAAGCATGTATAAAACATATGCGCATGAAAATCTTATATATACCGACATACGAATTTTATATATATTTGAATAACAAATATGTAATGTTTTTTATCTTTTCGATAATTGTTAGCTTTTATTCATTTCTTGAAAAAAAAAATAAATTTTTAACTAAAAAGTTAGTTACGCCTTTCACAAATATATATATATATATATATT